CAGCATGAGTTCAAGCCATTGGCTATTTGAAAATCGTACGCTTCAATATATCTATGATTAATTTTATTATACTTATCAGCAATTTCAAGGTGAAAATGTCGTCCTCTAATGCAGTCAGACACTGTGAGGATGCTTTCCAAAACTTTCAAGTCACTTTAATATACCTAGCCAACAATAGATGAACATAGGACAATGTTCACTGATACTGACAGAAAATGGGTAAAAAAAGAACTTATTAAAGTATGCATTGTTTTTTAGCAAATACACAAGTAATTATCGATATTTTAGCACAGAATTGGAGCCCAACCTATGCTCTTTCTGTAGTCAAAAGATGAGGCCATTCGCTCGAGTTATAGAGAGTCTAGAGACTTGACAAGAACTCAACAACCATTCACATACCATTTTTCATTAGTAAGATATTTGCTTCTGAAACTTTTAGGGCACAATACACAATGATGAGGGAATATCTCCTGAAAATTTCAGATGAATTTATTGAACTATCACTAAGTTATTAATCTCTCAATGGTATGATATAGTTTTTCGGTATATCAATATTTACACTAAAATGATCAGAGTTCATCAATAGATAGATAAACTTTAATGACATTTTTAGTACAAATAGCTACTAGGTAGGGCTGCAAAATGAGGGGTTGGTCGACTCAAAATATCTTACCTTTCCCGAGTTATCAAGTTCACAATGCATACCAATGACATCCATTAGAACTCCATTCTTACTCGAGCTACTGTGGTGTAGTTGGTGCCGCTGACCTACATTCTTTATGGGCTACCTGCACACCTATTTTCACCCCTTCAGTTCTTGTATGGACTGAGATCCGAGGGGGGGGGGGATACTTTTGTCAAGTAGTGTAGAATACCAGATTTTTAATGAACAACTCTTGGGTAACTCTGAAATACACATCAATTTTGACTTTGTTAAAACTTTCAGTGCTTCAACAAATGCTTTGAACAACAATGGAACGGAATATTGCTTTTTTTTGTCATAGATTCTATCATTATTTTAATAGATAAATAAATAATCACTATATCATTCTCTTGATTTGTTTCATGGAGATCTTGAATATTAAGAAAGATTTTATTATGAAGTATTGAATAGAAAAGACCACCTTCTCTCCCCGTCCCAACCGCATCCAAGCATATGTATATAAAGATATTTATCTTTTTTTCGTTTTAAAAACGTAATAAATTTTTTTAAACGTTTGTATCCTTGTTTACATCACATTCTATTAATCGAAATACTCATAGCTATTTTTCGACACTTCAACATCATCTTCTTCCTTATCAGCCTAAATCCATGACATAATGTTTTTCAAATGTGGCAGGTCAATCGATACAGAGAAACGTTTGGTTTGATGAAATAATTTTGAAAGAACATCTTGTCCTTCTAAAAGAGAGTTATGGAGTTCAGCTGGTGAGAAATCTAGCCAATGATATATATATATATTTAAAATCGAATAGAAAAACATTTTTTATTGCTTCGGCTCCTGTATTTGACATGCTTTCAAAATCTTGCCATCCACTAGTAAAATGATACATTCCACCACGCAAACTTAACACCATATGAATCGTACATTTCTTTTGTATTCTATATTTTAAAAGAGTTTTGTAGTTTTCTAGTATCTTTCTAGCAGACATTATACGAAATTGACTTGGAAGTACATCTTCCTTCTATTTTATTAATGCTTTCAGAGCATCTATATTCATGAAAGAATTGGCCTCTAGTGTAATCGTTCTTCCAGTAAGATTTTTCACAAGAACTTCAAATTGAGCAGTGGATTCTGCATCGTCAGTCTATGAAAGAAGAATCGTATTAGAAAAAAGAAAAAAATAATAATTTCCTTGAAGAATTTTTGCTATAATAATGAACTGGTCTTGATATAACTTAGACGACATGACGGTATCATCTGTTTTCAGTATTGTACCATCATTCCTATTTAGTTTCTCTATTTGAAAATCTCGATTTAATATAAATGATTTAAGTTGAATGTTTGGCAGTTTTAGAAGTTCTTGCATTTTTATACGAATATTTTCAATTTTATCTTTTAAGATAACCTGTAAAACAGATTGCTGATGTGGTATACTTTCACAATATTCTACGTGTATATTCAATTCATCGTATGTAATAAATTGATAACCGTCTGGATATTGGGATACTGTTGATTTCAATTTATCATCATATAATGGTAAGATAACATTTTCAGCCATAGTTCCAAATTTAATCCATTTTTGCAAGTATTTTGGTACATAATCTTTCTTATATTTGCGTATTAATGTGCCCATCAATTCATGATCCACACATATATTCGTTATAGGATTTTTATATGGATCAAAAAATGTTATTGAACGTGTTTTCAATTCTTTTCGTATAGTATTTTCATTTTCCCATCGTTCTTCAAGATATTTTGAGATTTCGAGCATTGCTGTTAAATTATGTCGATTAGTTACAGAACTATTCATCTGTCAAAAAATAAATATCTAAAACTTAAGTGATACTGATCAATCGAAGAGCATCCAATGATAACAGCTTTTGTCAAATAATCATTGTTTGAACTTGTTGGTGAATGTGACTTTTAGTTTTCTTTTGCAAAGTATCGTTATATTCATAGGTAAACAATGAAACTTCTGCAAAATATCATCGTCTTACTCTATGAATTGGTGTCAACAACGCAAAGAAATATCGTTGACAATGAGAAGAGAAAGTAAAAATGTAAAACTGATAGAGAAAATTCGAAAGTTTCGATCAAAATGAAAGAAAATGATTGTGATCTGCAATTATAATAAAATTTACAGGTATAACATTCGCTTTTTTGGAAAAGAACTGTCGTAGCTTAAACGAAGCCACTGGACTTTCTAAGGACTAGCGTAAAGCTGAAATACGACCAAGTCTTGTTGATTGCAATAGTAGAATTTAAAATCGGAAAAAACCTCATTCTTCACGATGGTAATAACAATACAGTATAAATTAGCTGATAGCCATATTTAGAGCTTCAACATAACGAACAACAGTCGCCAAGATAAGTATATTATTGTTTAGTTGCCTGCCCTACTCATTTTTTTTGTCCAAATAGTATGATGTGCTTACAATTGTGCATACAATCACGTCATTATTATACAACCAAAAGAAATAGAAAAGAGCAGGTATAGAGCAGTCGCTTTCATTATGTACACAAAAATGATTCATACGTGGGAAAGAACACATTTTGCCTTTTTCTGCAAGTAATGAATAGTTACATAGTCACTCTTTATTTTTGTCTTATCGAAATATAAAACATTAAAAGCGCTTAGAACTTTACATTACTAATATTTTACGATGTTTTTAGTTTTTTTTAAATGAATCCATATTATATTTAATCAAACAGCATCCAAAGACTTCTTGTTAATAATTATTAAAATTCTTTTCTGTATTGTCAATTGTGACTTCATCTACTTAATCATGCAATCTCTAAAAAAGCCAATACGAATTTCTCTACGGTATAGTAAAAAATTTCGTTGACAAAAACTAATGAGGATGCGGATGTGAGGGCGAACATGTATTAATACCACATTTTCACTTACACACCACATCCACCCTAAAAGCTTTGAACAGGATATGGGATATGTGAGATAAAAGAACTTCTGCCGATTTCGTTGTAGCTAGTTGGAATGAGTTTTACTAGCTTCTGCAAGAAATTGGCAGTCTCATTAGTAGCTGACACTTGAATACAATTGTGTCGAGACTTCAGTAAAGTGACTGAAGGGTATCGTCTTACTGACCATCAATCTCTTACTTTATCCCATTCAGTAGCCAATGGTTTGTGC